CTTTCCCTTTCCACAGCCAGCAGGACTGTTTGCAGGAGTGACGAGTGCTTCCATGTGAAAGGCAAAAACATAGAAAATCTTTCACGGGATCCAAGGCAGCTGGAAATAAATGTGTCTCTGCTGCTTTGGAAACAGAGAGAGAGGACCCAGCCTAATTCATTTTTAAGTGAATAGTGTCATAAGGGCTTTAAAGGCCAAGTCGTGGTGAGTGAGGTAATGCAGCTGTAAGTGATGAACCAAAAGCTCCTTCAGGCTTTAGCTGAAGAAATCTTTCTTTCAAGGCTGCACATTCCCCCTTTATTGAATACACTGCACAACCTCTGAAGCCTTTAAAACATCCCCATCTTTTTACAGACTCCACCACTGATCTGAGGTATTCCCTAGTGCCACCAAATACCTGCCTGCCTGCTTGCATATGGAGCTGCAAACAACCTTGCAAAATAAAACCTAAGATCTTGACCTGTGGGAGCAGAGAAGGGGTCTTCAGGAGGTCACTGGCTTTGTCTGAAGCAAAATGATTTGGATGAGGGAGCAGTACTGAAGTCTGGGAATGGATTTCAGATTTCTCCAGTAACTGGTGCACAGACTTAACATATTCACAGATAGGCTGACCATTTTTAAAGGTAGCAAAATACACCTTTAATGGTCAAGCTGTTTTCAAACAGACTGAAAGGAGCACTGTGTTCATCAGGGACTAGGATGGCCTCTAACATGCTGCACAAAATATACAAAAGCTGCTTTCTTTCAAAGTGTGTTTGAATTGGCACTGACCTGGTGCTCTAATACCTACCTGTACATAATCCACGCTTCTCCCCAGTGCTTTGAATGCTGTGTACATTACTTCTCTTTTTCCACCCCATTTCTGCATGATGCAAACACTTTTATTGGACAGAACCAGCTGAGATACGTGTTGCATGCTCTCTCTGTGAGACTCCTCCGTCTCACCCGGACCTTTGTCGTGGAAGTTATTACTCCAGATGTAAGTGGCAGATTTGTCCCTACCCATGATTTCAGTAAAAATGTCCATCATGTAAACGTCGTCTTCCGAGTTCCCATCAATGACCATAACAACTTTAATTCCAGGGTAGGTCAATCTTTTCACAGAAAGTAAACATTTTCTTAAGTAGTCAGGATCCTCTTGATAGGCAGCAATACAAAGGGCAACTGTTTTGTTCAGCTTGATTGGAGTCTCTAGTGACCGCTTCATTTTCCTGTGCTCTAGGAAGGCAAACAGGCTTTGGATGATGAGATGTGATGCCAGAATAGCACCATAGAGTCCAAAGGAGAAGTAGTAGTTGTCTGTTTGAATGAACTGGTAGCCCACAATGTAAGCAGCGGTGATTCCCAGCAGAAGGGACACTCCGAAGAGTGTGGTTCCAAGTATTCTCAGGATACATATAAACCTCTCACAATACATCTGCAAAGAAGCACAGAAACTGTTAGCAGAGCCACCACTTGCTGATATAAGACCTCTTAAGGGGTGCAGATGGCTACAACATAGAGCTCAGCATCCACAGAAACACCCTGTGCTTCTGCCTGTGTCACAGACTTACTGCATCACCTTGATCAACTTCACATCTCTTAACAGTACTTCCCCCGTGTAAAGTAAGATTTCAAAGACGCTTAATGTACTAGGGATTTTTCTACTCTTTGTAACATCCTCACAGAAGCTGCTGTCTGTGCCATCATTTTATTTTGGCAGCCTAGTCTTGCTGAATAAGACACACTGTCATATTATCCTGGAGGAGCTGGAGAAGGGACTTTAGGGCCACCACCCGCTTCACTGGCAAGTGGAACAGCTGAATGTCTGGGCAGCCCCTTCTCATCCCCCATATGTGTCATGACTGTGTCTTGTCCTGTGTCACTTCTGTCGCTTAGTTATGTTTGAGAAAATATTGGAAAGAAATTCTTAAAATAGATGTCTGAATGCATCTAGAATTTTTTAAACAGATGTCTGACCATATTTATAGTTTATATTTATATAGACAGACATCTGCTTTAAAAGGTCTTCTCAATACCACTGCAAAAATGTATTATTCATACCTTTGTGTACACAGACACACATGCATGTGTGTGTATAGGGCTAGAGCTTGACTGAGATTAAGTCTGTGGCACAAGTACACATTAATTTAACAGAGTCAAGACTCCACCCTGGACTAAGAAATTCATTAGAACACTAGTTAATTCTGACAACTTCTGCATATTTAGGCTACCTGGCTATAAAATCTGACCTAAGCTCTGGGTTACAGAGGAGCTGGCTGGCAATGAGAGTGCTCAGGTATTCTTGAGACAAACAACACGGGCGGGCAGACAGGCAGAATATTGCTACCTAACTGCTTTTTGTTGACAATCACATTAACCATTTTATGCAACAGATTTCTCAGAATTACAGGAAAATTAATGACAATGTTTTATGTCAATTGATTGGGCTTAAGGACATAAAGCAGATAATGTCTTTTTAAGGCAAACCCAGCAAGTGAGTTGCAAGTCAATGAATCTGAAACTCAGGCTTGAATACTTCACTGAATTAGGGCCTTTCAGAGTAATGGACTTAATATTTGAGTCTTCTTACTACTATTCATATTTTTCCTGCTGCTCTCATCTTGCTCATCTGCTGATCATGTTTGTTCCACCATCTGTTGGCCAAAGCTGAAGTTGGAACAGCACTTCCTTACATCATATATGTCTTTAACTCTTTCTTGAAAAAATACAACCAAGATGCAGCAGCATAGTTGTCGTAAATTATCTTTCTGTCTGAAAAGTTACAAGCTTGGAAAAAAACCCATCAACACAGAATCACTTACAAAATAAAAATAAAGCAGGCTAGCATAAGGTCTGAAGTCACAAATACTATGCTTTTTTTTCCACTGGCTATTTAGGGTCTTAAATGTTGAGACAGGAGGAAGCCTCTTAAATGTGTATTTGGAGACTGTCACAGAAATAGGACCCTATCTCTAGGACTTCCTTGAATACTTATGGCTGGGCTCTGACAGGTGCTGAAATCACCCACCAGCAAAAGGGACTGTGCCTGCTCTGGCCTGTCTGAAAGTCTTTCACAACAGGGGTCATAGAAAAGCCTAAATAAAGATAGCTTATGCTTACCACCACTATAGATGAATTAAAACTCAGTGCCCAAAATAGACTCGCTTTAGAAAACAGATTAAGTAATGGATCCCCTCTAGATTACCTTGCAGTCAAATAGCCTGTGTGCTTATTAATTACTCAAGCACACAGAAGGTCACAAACATCAAGGTAAATGTTTCATTCAGGATGCAGTTGTACTCTGCTTTCCCATTTGGGGTCCACTATTTCTCTTCTCTTGCCAGAAGTAGAAAATTCCTATTAGTAAGTAGAGGCTAAAGTCTGCTTACATTAAGAATCATATGGCTGAAGTCAATGGACCACTTGTATGGGTAGAGCTCATAGGACTTAGATTAAGATATGAGCATTTACATTTGACTGACTATATACTGTACCAAGGCTCTTTTATATTAATTTGCTACTGCTTTTTCTCTTCCTATGAAGTGTTTCTGCACAAAAGGGAAAAAAAAAGAAAAAAGAAATTAATTCTCTGATCTTGTCATTACAGCACAGCTTCCCTCCCTCACACAAAAACCCCAGCCTTTTAAGATCAAGAAATGTGTTTCTGGTCTTAATAAAACAGCGGGTTTTTTTCCTATCCTTTCACTGTTAACCTTGGGAAAATAAACTGTGTTTTGATCTAAATTCTTGGCTTTCATCAAAGAAACTTTCCCCTTTGTATGTGCAATTGAGGTTTTTATGTATAGTCTTTTAACTGACTGAATCTCAGGGAAAATCTGGAAAAAGTTGCTCAATATTCTCAAGCTCTAGCACGTGATCTATTGATAACTTGCCCAGCAGAACTGATCTTTATCAACTTGAACATGCCCAAACAATGGCAAAGAAGCCAAAAATCCTCCACCCTTCTCCAATAATCAAGCCAAGATGTTAGAAGGAAATGATGCTTGTACAAGTCTGGGACCAAAACTGAACTGCTGAGTCAAGCAGGAGCACTGAGGGTGGAGAATAGCTGCATCAGAGATTTTAAGGTCAGACAGTGATGAGTATCTAGCCTGGTCTAACACAGTGAAATGTAAAAAGGACATCCTTAGTACAGCACCCGTTGAAACTGAATCCTGAGGTTCCCTGAAGTTGCCATATGAGCCAGTGTACAGTAATACTGTGTTTTAACAGTGCAAGACTAGAATGATGCCACACTGAGTTAACATGTAAGTGTCAAATGCTTGATGAAGGACCAACACCCATGATAACTTCCAAAGCCACAACTATTTTTCAGTCATCACATTGATAAGCACTCTAAGTACTAGCAATATTCTTTCAGAAAAAATGTAATAGCTTTTATTAAAATCTGCCATCACTACAGCTGACTAATTGGCAGGGGGTACCCTACATGCCTTGTATGATCAGCACAGCTTCGCGTTTTGTTTATGTCTCAGATCTTCAGTTCTCTGAGAGATTTAACCCAGTAAGTTTGTCCTGGGAAACAGGCACTGCAGCACTTAAAAAAGAAAACAATCCCCACCACCTCATCTAGGAATGAGGTGCTCCACACATGGAAGACATGCAGCCAGTCCATATTCCTGGATCAACAAAGATAATCTAAAAGCCACTTCTGTATACACATGGCACTGCTGCTACATGAGAACAGCTGTCAAAGTGAGGAGAGGGACATACATGGCTTCTCACCTGGTGAGAACCTAAGTTGGTGGTGGTTACCTCACTCTCTGGTGTCAATCCTGGGTTGTGCACCTTCTGAGCAGGTTTTTAACCAATTCTGTAAAGCAGGAGGAAGATAGTACCTGAAATGTGCCCTCTTCACTATCATTTTTTTTAAGGGTGAAAACTATTTATCACTGAACAAAGTTGGAGTTTCCATTGTTTTGCATTAGCCCTCAAAGACATATCCAGCTGGCAGTAAGACTGAAGATTACAGGTTCTGTAAGCAGCTGGAGACATTAATGACTTATTATTAAAGCTTGCCCTACTCAGGACAGTGGCTGAGTCTGACTGTTAATTCTACTCTGTGGCTTGGGCACCTAAATCCTTTATGGGCACCTTCACCTAACCCTGTGATGCTGAACCAAGCTTTACACAGCCTCCAGCAAACAGGGTCATGGTTTGTATGCATAAGATGAGTGAATGTAGAGAGGTTTCAAAGGCTACTACTGAGCAATTTGTTGTCATGATCTTGCAGCTGTTTATTTCCATGGCTGGAGCAGGTCAGTGCTAACCAGACCACCTGCTAAAAATGAAATATAAAAACCACATGCTAAATCCTAATGCTATGTAGGCTGTTGCTGATTCAGTAACACATTTTGATTCACCAAGCAGCCCCAAGTATGTATGTGCCTTGTAGTGGCTGCATAGAAGGACACAATGTTTGCCTCTCTTTGGAGGATCCTATGGAAAAGCATTGGCAAGAAACGTCCCTTTGCATGCTCTTGACATCACAATCCACTTAGTGAACTATTTGGCATTATGCCTCTTTTGGCATCCTGATAAAGCCACACAAAGTTGTTGTGTTTTTTTTCTTGCTCTGGTCACACCTGTGATGAAGGAGAACTCATTCTACAGTATCACTAACAGAAGAATTGACTGATACATACACTGTACTTATAATGACTGAGGTATGAACTCTAACACTAGAGATCACAGACCTTTCTCAGACTGAATAATGCTAGATCTCAAATTAGAAGAACACAGCAATATATGCTTGAGTTGTCTCTATTCTGAGAAATATTTAGGCTAGCTTTTAACTGTACTTATAGTACATAGAGTTAACTTTAATAATATCCAGATACTTGACTGAAATTCAGCAGGCTCTTATGTCCTGCTTTGAACTGGGTCTTACTCAGCAAAGAACACTGCTGACTTCCATGGTAAAGCACCACATTTCCCCCCCTAAATCATATAGCACAGCCCATCCATATGGTTATTAATCAGCTTTCATGCATTGCTGAGAGTAACAGGACCTGGACATAGTTTATCCTTTTGCAAGGTCAAGAAGTAAAGAGGAAAAAAAACTCTGAATGTGTCATTAATATATTAAAGAGATTAATAAACACGAGACAGTCAAATACATATGCTGAAAACCTATGTGCATTGGTGTCTGGACACATCAATATTATGTGCAGTCTGCTCACTTATTCTGCACCAACCATTGTGTAGCTGCCCTGAGGACCAAGGCAGCAATCAGGTTGTCCCCTGCACCTGCTAAAGGACATGAAACCAGTGACTGACAGGAGGTCACAGTGGGACACCCCAACGAATGGGATGCAGCTCACTACCTCATCTGTTCCAGAAGTCATCTCTCATGCACAACACTCAAACATATTGCCTTGTAGTACTTCAGGCTAACTTTATCCCAGAAGATTAAAAAGCAAGAGGTAGATGGAAGAAGTTCATACATAAAACACAGTGATTCAGAAGGTCATTTAAAAGAATTAGCACTTATTAATACCAAAGAACTGAAGACATTTTTTTAAAAAAACTTAGACTGCAAGAGTCAGTATTTGTTCAGGAGACAGTTGCAAAGGTTCAATCACAAGTGTGCTTATTTCACCCTCTTCACCTCTGAAGGTTCAAAAGAACTGAGTCTCTGCAGACACCTTCCACTTTCCATCCATTTTCATATTTTACTCTGAACTAAGTTTACTCAGACCCCATGGATTGAAAACCCTTTAGTGTCTGAAAAGGGTCCTCCAGAGGTACATCTTGCAATTAGTTTCATTCAAGAGGAATCCAGTTTGTGTGCCCAGGGATCATTTTGCAATGCAAACCCAAGCAACGTGGTTGGAGGGGGGGGACAAGGTAGCATTGCACACTCCTGAGTCAAACTAAAGTGTTAACACACCAAACAAACCCACATACACGATCTGCACATCAGACTTGTCAGCAAATCAGAATTGCTATGTGCTGAAAACCTTTGAAAATGTCTAATTTTAATGGGCCTGTATAGAAGCTGAATTCTTGAGTGTCTACTAGTCGTGGTTCTCTGGATTCAGCAAAGCATGTAAGTATGTCATTAAAGATAAGCATGTGCTTAAGTATTTTCCTGAAGAGGGAAATCAGTGGATAATTTATCTTGCTGTTCTGTAGTGCACGCATAAACAAATCCTTCTCGGTGAAGCTGCTATTTCTAGGATACTCATGATAAAAACGTATGTGTAGATTTGACAAATTTATTATACAGATTAATCTCCCTTATGAAGGCTGTCAGATGGGTCATTGCTTAACCACTGCATTTCTTACTTAGGGAATCTAAGAATGGGCCAGGACACAGACAATCTGGGTTTTGCTCCTTGTATTTCCATTCAGCTGTGGGGTGACTTTAGGTAAGCTCTGTCTCAGTTCCCTCACCTGTAAAATGGGCATTGTGGTCATGTGAGAGGTTCATGAAGGTCTTTAAGACCCTTCATAAGGCTTAGGTTACTGATGTTTGTAATGCTACTCCTTCTTGTGTGATATTGGACACATTAGCTCTTCAGTGCCATATAATTGTTTTTCCTAAAAAAAACCCAACAAAACCCAACAGACCACTTCCTATTTTCCATGCTTATACTCCCTGAAGGTCGAGTTAGTAGGGATTTGTCTATAAAAAACATGCAGCTCTCACTCAGCAGGATGCCTGAAATCAGTGAGGTTGGCAACATAAAAGCTGACACGTGGGTTTATGTACATGCAGCTACTGAGGGCTGGTTGCACACAACGGAAGGAAGAGCATAATCTTTTATAACCCTTAAAAAAACCTCCTTAGTTGTGAGAATAATAGCATTAGCTTCAACAGAGCAGCTCTTTGAATGAGATGAGCATTTGTGTGCATGTGTGCACACAGGCTGACAAGTGCTCTATGAGGCCTTATACCCATATAGTCTGTGTGTAAGCACAAACTGTATCTGAGCATCACCATATTCCAGACAATATTTAGATTTGTTATTAACCTTATTTTGGTGGGAAAATAAATCGTTTCTATTTGAAGCACAAATTATTCCAGGTACACATTCATTACAAGCATAAAATATCTGTGCAGACTCCCCCCCTTCTATTTTACAGCTCACAGAGAGGAAACTGAAAAGTTATGTTACATCTGTACATCTTTACTACAGCAGAGTTCCCATATCTGATGCTTTTGGTTATTTATCACTTCCAGATTTTGTCATGCCATTGATCTTCTGGAAAGGGCTCAAACAGGACTAAAATTAACTTGGGCTAGGTTTAAAAAACAGAACAGGATTAGTAATGATGGCAAATTGTAGCTGCATGAACAGGCTTTGATCAGCAAATCAAGATTTTCCTGCCTGCTCAATGTATGTTTCCCACTAAACTGCTCAAATTTAGTCTTTTACAGGTTTGAGTACCTGATGTGGAATGAATTCTACAACTGCTGGTTGGTTTTGTCCCTAATGTCAGCAGTGATACACTAGTTCTTAAATTAACGAAAAGAAGGCCCTTCTCCCCCAATCAAGAGCTCTAAGAAATAAATCAAGAAGTAAATAATATTTGTACTCAGATATTTTGGATTGTGCTTAAACAAAAACCTAGTTTTAGAAGTGTTTTCTGGTTGCTGGTTATGAAAACCATGGACTCTTTTGGCACAAAACTAACTACTCCATGCCTTACTCCAGCAAATAAATATTTGATGTTCATAGGTTATTATCTTGCAATTTGTTTCTAAGAACAGGTGATACCTTGTTTGACTGTCAAGTCCCACTACACTGAATGGCCTCTTTATACACTAATCTTGTAGAGTAACGGAATGAAGCAAATTTGCTTCCACACCATAAACATGAACAGCTGAGCTGGTTGCTAGTGAACTAGCATGGGCAACTGCTGAATCCAGCAGAGCTGCTCTCCTCACCGGGAAAACCCTTCCCTGGATTTCCTACACTTGCATGTAGCATACAAAAGATCTTGGCTTTATAGACACCAGTGACAAAATTATCTGAGCTGGACGGGGCTGGATTTTGAGCAGTTTTTCAAGGGGATCACACTTCACTGCTGTCACGCCCAGATGAAATGATCTGTCCCTCCTCCCGAGCAAGCCCCGAGGTGCTCGCCTGAGGACCCACGTGTGCTGCAGAAAAATGACGTGTGTTCCTATGGAGAAATGATCCATAAGGAAGACTACAAAGCGGGTGGCTAATGCCAAGGAGCAGCTACGCCCGGGGAGATGCACGTCCCTGAGGGCCCTGAGAAGGGGTCAGACAACACTTTCCGGAGTCTTCGCACAGGGCAGGGGAATGGAGTCAATTCTCTCAAGGTCCCTTTCGTGCCCGGCAAGACCAGGTGACGGGTGCCAGGGCTCCCAAGGGCTTCCCGCGGGCGCAGACCCCCAGGACCAGGGATACCGGGGATGGCAGCGGCTCCGCCGGGAAAGCCCTGCCCGCGCGGCCAAGGGGGCGGCGCGGGGCGTCCCGGGGCGGGCGGGGCCGCGGGGAATCCCCCGCGCGGACAC